GGTTCTACTCGCCTTCCAGGATGGGGACCGCGTGATCCTCACTGTGCCTTGTTGGAGACACTACAAGATATGGCTGGCACCCGATGTCAGTGGCGTTCTTGTTGTCAGTTTCTATCCCGATTGCCTGAGTGAATGTCTGGAGGTGTAGGCACCTCGGAATGATTGTGTTAAGCTAGCACTAAGTCCCTCCCCCATCCACCTTTATTCTTTTCTTTACAATAAGGCTTTCAAATAAGTCATGGCTGTACGGCAGTGAAGCATTGGTGTTGAGCACTGATGTCATGCTGTCGTTGATGATGATGATGATGATGATGATGATGATGATAGCGCCGATATCTTCAGGTATCTCCAAATCAGTCCTCAAGCCTCAACACCCAGTCTGTCTGGCCGCGTTCAATGTCCGCACGCTGAAGCAAGCAAAACAACAAGCTACCCTTGCACTCACACTGGACTCGCTTGGCATTGATGTGTGCTGTGTCTCAGAAACTGGAATTCAGGATGCAAGCACAGTGATTGAGCTAACCACCCCGTCAGTCTCCACTCGCTTCCGTCTGCGCATCTCTGGTGATCCAGAAGCTGCTGCAATGGGATGTGCATGGGTTGGTATAGTGCCAAGTCACCGGGCGGAAGTATCCTCACTTGATTAGATACCTGCTGACAGTCGCCTTTGTGCGGTCCGCCTGGCAACGTCTGTGAAGGAGTCTCACAAGTAGCAAGTTGATAGATGTCTGTTTATTGTGTCTGCCTACGCCCCAACTGACTGTAGCTCCGACGCCGTCAAAGACAGGTTTTACGACGCCTTGAATGTCTTGCTGCAACGAGCTAAAAGCTTAGACATTGTGGTGGTTGCCGGAGATATGAATGCGTACGTGGGCAGTCTTAGTGCATCTGAGACTCAATTAGGAGGTCAACATGGACTGGACTCGGTACGTACGGACAATGGGGAATTGTTGCTTCATCTATGTGCTGATCACAGGCTGTTTTTATGCAGTACCAACTTCCGAAATAGCCGAAGTCGTTTGGCCACTTGGTGTTCTCCAACAGCAGGCCGGCCACAAACTGAAATCGACCACATTGCCATCAGTTACCGATGGCGCGGATCAATAACTGACTGAACACATTTGTGGACTCAGGCCCCGCGCTCGTCCGGAGTCGCTTCGCCCTGCGTTTCCCGGGGCCGCATATGGTGCGGGCGAATCGCCTGGCAACTGAAAGACTGGCAGATCCGGATATCAGATGAAATTACACGAATCATCTTCTATAGTTACTTCCAAATGCTCCACCATCGAATGTGAACTCATACTTGGATGAGGTTGCCACCTCTTTGCATAGTGCTGGGAATTTTGCCTGTGGCACGACCCAACCAAGCAATGCATATCAGACCGAACGGTGGTACTACTTAAATCTCGAAGAAATATTCCAGCCGGTCCCGAACATAACTCGATGCGAAGAGTTATCAGACGTCAACTGAAAGTGAGCTTTGGATCCGACCGTGAAGTATGGTGGACACAAAGCCAAAGAAATGGAACAGGCCCAGAAAGCTGGTAATGCCCGAGGATTACTTCCGTTGATCTGTGCGACCGGTCCCCGGAAACCACCTGTGAGTGAAACCATCAAACATCAGGATGGAACGACCGTCTCGAATAAAGAGGAACGCCTCGACCGGTGGACTGAGTACTTCGAACAACAACTGTCGTGGCCTCAGCACCCATCTAGAGCCCACAGGTGAAGTAGAACTCTGGACGGTGAACGTAGAATCACCTACGGCCTCGGAGGTTTACGAATGCAAATGTTCTCTCAGGCACCACCGAGCTCCTGGTCCGGATGACCTTCCACCCGCACTGTTCAAAGACGGGGGTGAAGTCCTCAGTCAGTGCTTGTCCGATCTGTTTGCTTGCATTTGGGAAACGGAGTCTGTCCCAGACAACTGGGGTGAATCGGTGATAATGCCCGTTTTCAAAAAAGGGGCGCGTAGTGACTGTGGTAACCACAGGGGGGTCAGCTTGACCGCGGTCGTAACGAGACTGTTGGCGTCAATTGTGCTTCGTCGCCTTACGGTGGCTCGCGAAATACTGACTCAAGAGCAGCAAGCGGGATTCCGGCCTGCGTTGGCCAAATCTTCACACTGCGTCAAGTGCTAGAGCAACACCATACATATAAGCGACCCACAATTCTAGTATTCCTGGATTTCCGAGGCGCATTCTACTCGGTTGATCGGTCTTCTCAGACTTCCGGACGTGTGAAAGTGTACGGAGAGCTCTCCAAAAGCTTCCGCACACAAAGCGGTGTCCGTCAGGGATGCCCACTCTCTCCATTCCTTTTTAACTTTGTGGTCGATGAAATAATGAGACGAACGCTGGAGGGTCTCCAAAACCCTGATGTTCAAATAGCCTGTGAAGAAAACCTTGCCGATCGGGAATATGCGGACGACATCGTTCGAAGAGAAGGAAAAGGCGCAGGTGTTTTTGGATGAACTGATTAAAGTCCTTTGGTATGCACCTACAAAGTTTAAGGTCATGCTCGTGGACTTGCAGTCACTGAACACGCCACTTACAATTCAGGGAGAGGTACTGGAAGTTGCGGAGCGTTTTACTTATCTTGGTAGTTGTATTAGTTCTGATTGCAGTGTGACAGATGAGGTGAATGCACGAATCTACAAGGCTCGGACCGCGTTTGCTAACTTGAGACGCCTATGGCGTCAGAATGGTTTATTCCTGAATCTGAAGGGACGTGTGTATCAAGCTACAGTACGGGCTGTTCTGTTGTATGGCTGTGAGACTTGGCCTATTCGAGCAGCGGACCTGAGATGTCTTCAGGTGTTCGACAATCGTTGTCTCAGAACCATAGCTTGCGTGGGTTGTTGTCGGCGAATCCGTAACGAGGCAGTTAGAAAGCGTGTTTTCGGTTGTGTAACGGGTACTTCCATTGAAGAATGTGTCCAGCACCAGAAGCTGCGTTGGTTGGGACATGTGTTACGTATGCCGAACCATCGTTTGCCGAAGAGCGTGCTGTTTTCTATGCCCAATTCGGAGTGGCGTAAACAGAGAGGTGGCCAACCCTTGACTTGGCAGAGGAGTATGAAGGAGATCACGAAACACTTGGGTGCTGTCGGTGCTACTCGCCCTCCAGGGTGGGGACCGCGTGATCCTCACTGTGCTTGGTTGGATACACTACAGGATATGGCTGCCAACCGATGTCAGTGGCGTTCTTGTTGTCAGTTTCTATCCAGATTGCCTGAGTGAATGTCTGGAAGTGTAGGCACCTCGGACTAAGTCCCTTCGCTGTCCACCTTTATTTTTCTCTTCACAACCAGGCTTTCAAATAAATCATGGTTGTACGGCAGTGAAGTATCAGTGTTGAACACTGATGTCATGCTGTCGATGGTGATGATGATGATGATGACTTGCGTCATCTCGACCCAGTTATTACGGACACTGTGCCTAATGTACGAGCCTTGACTGTGCTAGCGCTTACCGCGCCTTGAAGAGCACTTGGTATTGTTTGTCATTTCTTCAGTTGCTGTCCTTTGCACGTGTGTCTCCATACCAAATATTCTTGCATGGGTTGGAACCCATTTTATCTGACTGGAACTGTTGGTGGCACAACTTTGAATGGGATGCTTCCTTCGTTTTACCTAATATTCTCCTGTGCACCCTTCTACACCTATCGCCTGGATTTACTTTTTGTGTTTGTGACCATGCTCTTCAAAAATGAACAACAATAATAGTAGCAATACTTATCAAGTAATATTTAACGAGTGCCATTTATCGCATTGAAGACGAGCTGTACTGCTCGCCACCATTTGAAGTTACGTGTAATATTTTGAACGGGAGTTCGTTCGTACACCAAAGGACGTGGCTACTTTGGGCATATTCTTATAACACCGTCAGTTATTCATTCACTTTCCTCGTCCCATTTCAGCTACCATTTTGGGGAGGAATTTGGCATCTCCCATCCGTTTACTATCCCCATGTACCCATCCTCAATTCCTCGTCGGAAGAAGGTTGAGCGTGAGCTTTTTGACACGCTTTATTCGGTTGGCCCTGGAGAGTTTATATGTAAGGTATATCCTTGTCGTTAATTTAATACTCAACTATAATACTGCAGCTACTGAAATCTCAAGGAAATTATCTGTTCACTGCGGAGGATGAACGAGGCGAACAACTACTACTGTCTATTCCTGATCGCCTTCGCAACGCATTCTACTTTTCTTCTGGAGACTATGTCCTCTGTGCACCGTTGGAAAATAAGAAGGTTCGGGGCGAAATACGAACTGTTTTGTATGAGAAACAAATAACACACCTTATAGGTCTCAACTTCTGGTAGGTCTCTTTCAGTAAAAACGTCTTTATTTCTTAGAAATATCTGTAGCTCATTTTTGACATGAGTAGCAATTTCTCTATTCTGTGAGCCGACCTTGATCATGTTAGCGGAATTGAAAGCACAACTGCATCTCGAGGAAGGTCGTTTTTAGCAGTTTTTAGGCAGTTTTAGATTGGGTGATGATTGTACACGACTAGTCGGCACGTTGTCAACCCCCCATCCATATAAGTTCAGCCAAACGGTTGATGGTTTAAGTCCGACAGCTCTTCCAAGACAAAAATCGAGACGCAACTCATGTTCTACCTGACAGCGCCTCAGGACTGCGATTGAAACAGACACAGTGCACCTCTAAGAAATGCGACTCAATGATTTGCTCGAAACTCAAAGGTGATCGGGAAACTGGTGAGTGGGAACGGCACCAGAACCGACTATGCGGATGATAATCTGATCACTAGACTTCTGGCTTTTTCATTCCTCGCAAGTTAGCTAACACCCCTTGGAAGCATCCCATGGAAACCATGCAGTGTTTTTCAAATGCTTCGAGTGCGGTGAGCTTATCTTCCCTCCTATTGCACCGCCACATACAGGAAAAGAGTCGTCCTCTCTTTAAACCTGTATTGATCGGGAAACTGGTGAGTGGGAACGGCACCAGAACCGACTATGCGGATGATAATCTGATCACTAGACTTCTGGCTTTTTCATTCCTCGCAAGTTAGCTAACACCCCTTGGAAGCATCCCATGGAAACCATGCAGTGTTTTTCAAATGCTTCGAGTGCGGTGAGCTTATCTTCCCTCCTATTGCACCGCCACATACAGGAAAAGAGTCGTCCTCTCTTTCTTTAAAACCTGTATTCGACTCGTCGTGCTACTTTTTAACGATATATTTACTCTAAGGTCATTACGATCCAACACTCGATAGATTCTGTGGCTAGTGTTATCTTGGGGTCACTACAACGAGTGCTCGGCAAAGTTAGCCGTCGTTATGAGCATATATATAGCACAGGTGACTGCGTGACGTCGAACTCCTTCCCTGAGTATACAAATGGATCACGGGCATGCAGACGGATTCTCTTCAGTCACAAAATACAATGAGCGTATGCCTGAATATATCGCAGTTATTTCTGAATGAAGTTTGTGCGAAGTGCTAGTCCACGACGCAATGCTACTTCAGCCGTGAGCAAGACATCATAGACCGCGTGCCACACATGCCGAATTATAGTCCACTGGGACGAGTGCTTTGTTCTACATTTCTTTCAAAATACTGTAGATGCTGTAAATACTGTGTACAATGTTTGGCCTGGCTGAACGGCTTGAAAAAAATCGCGTCAGAATGCCGTTAATGCTTCCGTTCTCCAGGATGGGATGCACTCGCCCCTGCTCTGGGCTCCGGACGTTTGATCTATAGTGTCAGACCGGTTTCAGCGGCCTCCGTCCTCCCAGTTTGTACCCGGAGTGTTTCGAAGAACATTTGGAGATGTAAGCGCATAGCCCTACCTAAAGTTGCCACGATAAATAAACTGACTAAGTTTTGCTAGTTCGGTCACGTACTCCGTACGCCACTTGACCGACTTCGTCGGAAAGTCCTTTTTTGCACAAACAAGTGAAGGGTGGAAACGAGACAGGAGACTGGCTTGGCATTGACTTTGCAGCGAAGCACACGAAAGCCATTACCAGCAAGCTCAGCTGCACTGGTCATTACCGTTCCCGTGGATGGCACTCCGAGACGGTGCAAATCAATGGCTATAGACACTGTCAAACATGGCTCACTCGCGCGCTCAATGGCACGCATGCATCCAAACTGTTGTCTATCAACTCATAGATCCCCTTACTGGTCTTCTCAGTGACACTTAAGTACAGTGGTGTGCTGTCTTCAAAGGTGATAATGAGTGAGAATTCCCCTGACTGGATTCGCGCATCATTTATGTCAGCTACTGACTCCGGCTCATGGCTATTCACCCTTATCTCTACATATAAGCGGAGTCTCTGTGGCAGCTATAACCATGTACATGTGCGCGGTTTTTAAGCTGATGATGACGATAATGGTAAGCGCCTCAGAATGATAGTGATAGACTAGATCCAGATCCTCTTCCGGTCCATCCCTCTTTTTCCGACTTCAGTCCCTTTTCACAACAAGTGAACGCCAGTAGAGCAACAGTTTCAACGCTTGTGATATTTACCACTTCTGAGCGTAGTCGCTGCAGAGCATAACCATATGTCAATAAACCTGTGGTTTTACTTTATGTTTTGGTAGAAAATTCTAGGCCAAACAACGTTGTTGTCAGCTGTAGGTAATTGCGGGATTCGTAACACCAGTATTCACATCACTCCGGTAGAATACTCCTCTTCTTATCTTGGCATGCCTATTGAAGACAGCTCAGAGTAATTGCGCCATAACACGGGGAGGGTACTCCAAACGAGTGCTACGTGAATCCCGCTTTTGATCACTACTTGTGAGTACGAGAACTAATTTTAAAAATATCAGCTGTTCTACCTCCGGTGCGCCGGTTGCCAGGTGCAAAAAATGAATAAACCAGATGGCACAACGACTTTTTCAGTTCACCATGTCAATCGACAAGAGCTTTTGGCATATTTTCGTCCACTTGATCGTATTGTGTCCACACAGATGGGTTTTCCAGTATCGGTCTCAGGTCTATGATGAGTATTACTCCATCCAACTGGATAAAATGGCGGTGCTGAAGTTATCATCATCAGTGATGGCAACACTAGTGTTTCATGACGTACAGTCATATCCATTTACTTGAATAAAGCCTCATAATGCAAAGAAAGGGATAGGACAGAGATGGAGACCTAAGGTGAACTTACAACGAACACCTGACGTCCCTAGATTTATAACACTCAGTCGGACAATGTTAACAGAAACAGGTAGTAGGGAAACCGCTGACGCCAGTTGGTTACCGCATCATTCTGTCTCCAGATAAGCACAAGGAGGGATACATAAACCCATCCTGGAAGGCCAACGGCTCCCAAACTTAACGCCCATCGTTCTCTTCTCCCATGTCAAATTCTGTTCACGTTTAGGTTTCCGCCACTATGGAGAACAGCACCCATCGCTGTAGGCGGTAATTTGGCGTGTCTAACACATGATCCGACTACCTTATCTTACAATGCCTGATGCACACTCTTAGTGAAGCACCATCTGCTTCATCCAAAACTTATCTTCTGCTCACCTCACTGTAAATTCCGGCTCCAGCTATACTTCTAAGACATCGGTTGTCAGAGACCTCAAATTGTCTGAAATGCTCCGTCCAAAGTGGCCAAGTCTCGCGGCCCGCGTTGTAGTGTGAAATACGTGTCCTTTGAGACTCAGCGATCTATCTATTTGGATCCACCATTGGTGCAAATGGGCGAGATCAGTTCTAATCTGTAAGCTTCATTAATAGACTTGGTCTGTCACCCTACCATCAAATCTAATGCAACTTTCGACATGCGAATAGAGTACCGCGCTTCCATGGTTACTCCTTAAGACCTTAGAAAGTCTGCACCGTGTGCGTACCAGCTTGATCGAATTCATTTTCTCGCTAATCGTTTACGTTCCCGGAGACGTGCTTTAGCCCAGAATAACGGCATATGTATACTCTAAATATGAGCTTGACGCCCGTACGAATTGGTTTATTCGGTTATCTACCAAGTTGCCAATGACCGGGGTTTGACGAGTGCGATGATAGTGGACAACCCTGTCACAACCTCCTTCGTTTTCCCAAACTGCATAACGATCAGCCGTCAGTTTTGACTCAACTCGAAGCCTTACGTATAGTGACCTGATAAGGTTGACGTATTTCTCACACAGGCACCATCTTTCGTCAGATGATTCCGAATGGTGACTCGATCAGCTCACCAAAGGCATCAAATTATGCCAGGAAATAATATTACAGTTAAGGGAGAAAAAGTTCGGCACTTCTCCAGTGGTGTGCATATCTCTCGGGGTTGTACTCTGCTTGATTTTCAACTTGCTGCTCGAGATGTGGAAATAGAGGGTGGCAGATGATGGCGACCAAATATCCTGAAGCGTTATTCTTTAGATTGACTCCTCTATGGGTATTGGGTTATAAACCTGCCCAAATTTCAAGGATAGGGAAGCGCAGGCGGAACTGCTCAACCAACATTAGCTTTACCACTCCAACTTTCTGTGGTGATTAAATTAGTTGGTCGTGTTTGGTTTCGTTGACGAGGGGTGTCCATGCATCAGACTTTTGAAGAAGGCGGAAGTTCTCGAAACTTACTTGATAAGGAAACCATTTGGTGAACTTGATCCACTCTGTTTCTTTATCTGACTTGAGACTTATTTTGAGTCCGCCGGATTGCGTTAACGGATCTCAATTGACCGGTGAGGGAACTACTTTCCACTGTCTTGTTCCTTCAATGTACCACAAGTCATGGTAGCGGCTAAGTGAATTATTTTGCGGACATGGTACCACTGGATCGAACATATTTGTGGCATCGAAAAAAAAACAAATTTGTCGGATGAATGAACTGCCGTTCAACTTGTGGGTTTCAGGGCCATATGATATCGACCCACCGGTTTTGATGGTTTACGCTGTTCGCTTAAACGTACTTCAATCTTTTAACACTTGGGAGCATGATTGCAATTGATGTTTGACCTAGGATGACCGACAGTCTTGAACGCAATCCCACTACCGGTTGCCGTGTGGTCCGTCTATTTCTAAAGTTGGTTACGTGACAATGGCCGTCATGTGACACGTCAGCTAATACTTCCGCATAAACTAGAATAACAGTGGTTGCGGGTTTGTCTTACGTCTCCGTAAACTACTTCATCTGTATCGATTCTGGCAACCTCTGCTTTCAATTCGATAGTATTCGTGTTTTTTACATCACCACTAACGTTGGCCTCTACATAAGGAGTCCACTTTCTTCCTGGTTTTGGTCTTTCGAGTCCGCCGTCCGGCCTTGCAACACAGAATCTGCCATTGATCAGGAACCACGTGTGTATGGTATATTCAGTCACTTCGTTTGCCACGATTCCGACACTGGTCACAAAAGTTTCCGGTTAATCGTAGTTTGGAAATTTTCTTGAATTGACTTTCAGAGGGCAAAGCACAATCACTGTACTGAAGTCTTCGAGTTTGATTTCACGGGGAGAAAGTAGATGTTTAGCTACTTCACTACATGTGCAGTCGTGGTTCATCGACTTACTAGATTCCGCCCTTGTCGTTTTCCCACCAGTAGTCATTCCAAGCTGGAAATTTCTCCATGAATTCTGGACAAGTAGTCAATTTTTTTACTCATCCGGTTGTCACGATGTTGCATGTTTTTCTTCTGATACGTATTAGGAATCGTCGCACTGTTATCCCCTTTTTGTGTTTAACTTCCAAAAGGCCGAAAAATTTCCCGACAATCTCATCCAGAAAAACCCAAAACCAGGATGAACCCTACCTTCCTGAAGATATGCTACCTTCTTCCGATTCTTCGTACGATGAGGAAGAATCGGACTCGATCAAAGAGGAACCTGGGAGCAACTCATCTTAACTCTATTTTGCACACATTGCCTTCAACAAAGATTACCTTGCTCTCGTCAGTTTTTTCTTTATTTCATTGGCCTGATGCGTGATGGTCGTTGATTATGACGACTGTGTACATTGTTCCCCCGTAACTTTTTTTTAGTAGATCTTCTTACAACGGGGCTGCGCCAACAACCTGCTGTTAGTTTCGTTTTGATTGGGGTTCCTCAGTCTTGTTCCCAATTTTTAATGCCCTCACGGTTTGCAGGTGAGTGATCATGTCGATTTCCGTGCATTTGGTGTTAGATGGAAAGAAAGGGACCATGGACTGTCGAGTCTTCATCAGTCTTGTACACCCAGGAAAAACACGTGAATATTGACCCAATTACGACCAGAGTTTACCTTTGCCTTATACTCGTTTGTATAACTTTACCGCGGGGTCGTCAGACAGCATAGGGCTTAAGATGAGGTCAGCGCTATGCAAACTGGTAACATTGATAGCCAACAGGGATACGAATTTGTTAAACCGCCCTCCAACCGATCAACAAGGCCTATCACTGAACTCGATTGTCCAATTGAGCGCGCCGTTGTCTTATTCGATATTATAGTTTAAAGCAATCAGTTGTGTCAAAAATTGAGATAGATCAACCCTCATCCCTCAGAATCAATCAGGAAGTGGGTCAGTCAGGTTCGTGCCTCAACCGCTTAGCTATCTTGAATGTATGAAAGGAAGATAAACATGAAAACCAACAGCTTTAATGCGTGCCATTGAGTATGTGACTTGATCATATCTGCCAATGTCTCTAACCACCGAGTTGTCTCCTCTTGAGACCTCTACGGGTTGGTTTTGGTTATCCAAGGAGTACGGTGCAAGTTCCAGGTCGAATCTGAAGTTACAGTAAACATAATCCCAAGAGGCGATGTCGGTGGTATTCCCGCCAAAGCTTTGGTAGCTGGTCTGCAGGTGTGGAATGGAGCCAAAACCGCGACGAAACCGTCACAAACACTGAAGCAACATCACTGCCTTTCAACCATGTCGTTTTTTTAACAAAGTCGTGGAAAGAAGAATGAAGCCAGGAGTGGGAGTAGGATTAGCGTGCTACAAACATTCCAGGTGCCTACGTCCCCAACGTTGAGTCAGACAGTCTAGATAGAAGCTGGTACTGGGTATCTGCCTTGTTCACTGTCTCTAGACAAGCATAAGGAGGGTCATATGGATCCCGTCCTGGAAGGTGAATGACGCCCAAACTTTACTCAACACCCTTCATCCCTTTCTACCATGTCAATTCCTGTTTGCCTCTGGTTTTCCGTCACTTTAACTTAAGCACGGAAAACAGCACTCATCTCGCCATGTGTAACATATGGTCCAACTACCTTAGCTTGCAATGCTGGATGCACTCTTTGATGAATCACCGTCTGCTTCATCCAAAACTTGTCTTCTGCTCACCTGACTGTGAATTCCGGTTCCAGCTATACTTCTGAGACATCGGTTGTCAGAGATCTCAAGTTGTCTGAAATGCTCCGTCCAAAGTGTCCAAGTCTCGCGGTCGCACTGTAGTGTGGAATACGCGTCCTTTACCACCTAGTGATGTAGCTTTTTGGAGCCACCGGTGGCGCACATTGATAGAGCCTATTCTGGCCTTTGATATTCGTGTGTTGACTTGGTCCGTCACCCTACCACCAAATCCAATGCAACTTTCGAGGTACGTATGGAGTCCCTAATTCTCAAATACATTTTCAATGACTACATGACTGCACTTTGTGGGCACGAAACAATCGTAGGAATGGATGTCCCTGGTCCGTTTTCATAGTATTGCCTGCACTTCCTGCTCTTCAAAAATGAGAACAATCACGTCTGCTAATTGAAGTTTCTCACTCACAGATCTGAACACCGAAGAGTTCGCCCAATTACCTCGGCGACGAAATTAAAACCAATTAAAGATACCCTTTTTGGACACCGTTGTTGTAGCAAAGCTTTTGGAGACCGCTCCATACAAGTATGTGATTTCAGACAGCGCACGATATTCACGAACTTCCGGGCGAATCCCTGGAGGACTAACCAGTCAACAGAGTCGAACGTATTCTTGAACTTAAAGAATACTAAACTCGTAGGGTGCTTTAGGAACATCGTTCATCTATCACTTGAAGGAGTGTAAAGTAATGGTCCACATAACCCCTTCCGGCTGGAATCTTTTTTTGTTCTCAGATCACCTCTTCACGTGCCTTCGCAAGACAACCTAAAATAAGTGACGCAGAGTTTGGTCACGCTAATTCATCTGTTGTTAACACTCATTGTGATCACCCTTTTCGAAAACTGGCACTAAAGATTCGCCCCATTCGGTTGGGACGGTCTTTGTTGTTCATATACAGGCAAGTGTTTGGACAAGCGCCAACTGAGGATTTCACCTCAAGACCATCATTTCGCTGACTCCTGAGGAACAAAAACCAGTCGCTGGTTTCTGAGGCCATCAGGGTTTCCCAGTTTATTGTCCTGGACTGCGTCTCGGGTCTGTAGTCCGGTTCGGAAACTGCAAGTGGCCAGTTGACGTGTTGAATATGTCCAGCGCGACGATTCGGGTGCTACTCTTTTCGGGAGACAAGTCATTGTTATCAGTAGTTGTCTCGCTCACCGAAGACCTATTTGGATCTGGAACAGCGTACGCACATTCTTGGGTTTTCTCGTCTCCTCAGTTCCTCCAGCTTTCTGGACCCAGCAAGCTTCTCGATTCGCGAAAATGCTCTCTGTCACTCGAAGTCTGACAGTTCATCGAGCGGCACTGTACTCTCGACCAGGAACAATACATGTCCAAGCTTCGAGCAGTTTTAGAGTGCTGCTGGAGATTCTGTGTTTGGATATAGTTGGTCACACTGTTCCACAGGCGCCGCGATCAGCATCTTGCAGGGTCGCGTACAGCACCTTCCATTAAGTCAGCCTCAGGGACCAAGGAGATTCTCAGTGGTCAAGCGAGGTGTGCATAATGCCCCTTCTGAAAAACTCAATGGACAGGTGCCCGACAGGATGCGCGACAATCAGTAATTGATCGATGTCACTCAGCCAATGGCGATGTGCCGGAGGTTGGCTCCAATGCGGGGGCATGTTACCAAGTGGCATCGGTTTCTTCGGAAGTAAGCACTGCATAGGGGCCGTTTGTGGTCAACACATAACTGCAGTAAGCGTTGGCTGCTGTCCTGAACCAAGACGGTCGCCCATTTGAGCCTCAACAGAGCCAAATCTATCTATCTACTTATAAATCCAAATTTCTAACAACCACAACAATATCAGCTTCCAGCCCGCCACATCAAAACTCCCAAAACGTCGTGAAAGCCGTCTTTTAGTGTATCGGAACCATGGTCTGTTGAAGCGTAAGCAGATAAGATGAACAAGTGGCGTTTACAGGCGCATTTACGAGCTACTCTCACAGGCATTGTCAAACGAACCGCGCTGAGCAATCATTTAGCTGGTTGGCTGAGAACGACGACCACTCCAGCAGAACCAGTCGCAGTGGCTTCTGGATCACCAAAGGCGAACGGAAACGGATGGAGGAATACTTGCATCTCGAACCCGTATTTCAGAAAGACGACATATCAACAACAAGCAACTCCAGCATCCATGCAAGAGCACTGTTTTCTGGCTTGTTTCGGAATGCGAACGTTAAACTCTATCAGATGAACTGAGTATCGGCGTTTGGAGCCCGACTATGAATTTAATGTGGCCGTGGAGGCCGAGTTAACAGTTGAACAGGTATTTCAGTCCCTAAGAATGAGTCTGTGAAGATGCAGCAGACAACGGCTTGAGGAGGTGAAAAGGATGTGTGAAAGACAAAGTGAAGGCGTTGGTATTAGTCTGTCCACTTTACCCGCTCTTCTGTGCTTAGTGGCACCACGCTACGACTGATATGGCATGAAGTTCTTTGTAATTGTACGTCTACTGGGCTAATGTTAGGATGCCCAGATCTAAGCAGGAGGACGATTAGAGTCCTAGAACAAGGCCTTTCACTCAAAAACCTAACCGTAAGGCAGAGGTAGTTTGTGGAAGACTGTCAGAACAACTTCCGTTTTCAAGCACACACACATGTTCTAACCCCCAACCTGGAGGACCAGGAGACCGTGCCAATCAAACCAGCCAGGTGAGAGGGGCTCTGTGAGTGTCAAACATACACTCGCCAGTATATCAAGGGCTTTAGAGATAAGGTCAAATATCTTCATTGCGCATTCTGTTGGTGGAGAAAACCGAGACCCAGACTACATCATGGTGACCTATTTGACTTCAATTCTCGGGCTTTCAGCCATCCAGAAGCTGAATTTCGTTCATTAGGTTAGGGGCCCATCCACTGTTTTTTTTAAAAGCACACCTTGGATTTCGTTTGGTTGCACTGGATATGGTCTACGGTTAGCACGAGAGAAAACTGACCATCAGGTTGCCTCATTTTTGTGGACACGGGCTCTTAGCAGACCAAAATTCAGAGCAATCAGATCTGTTCCGGCGCCAGATGACCCGGAATCAGTGGAAAGGTTGATCCTAGTGATTGTCCATTTGTATCGACTTCTGCCCCATTTGGCTGACCTGGTAGAACCGCTTCAAAAATTAACACAAGGTGTCATCTTTTCAGATGGTGAGAAAAAAAAAGAGAAACCGTAGCCAAGGCACCAATGCTGGCATGCTGCAATCCATTGTTGTCACTTGTGCAATGCGTCAGCCGTCAATGAATTCGAGTCGCGGTACTTCTGCAGCCAGGACTGTTGGAGCAAAAGTATTAGACATCCAGAACGTAATTTTGGCTAGATAGAAATAGAACCAATGGAGATTGTCTTTGTGCCTGAATGGTCTAATGTGTATACTTTCGGCGGAAATGGTACTGTACTGACCGGTCACAAACCGAATAAACCATTAAGTAATATCCCGAAACATTTACCGCGAGTACTCACTAGACTAAAATATGGATATGAGTCATCTTATCAAACAGGGATACACTTTCACTAGTGACACGCTATCCAGAATACGTACCGGGAGTGTTGACGAATCAGGCCAAGAAATCGGGGGCTGTCCATGATTTGTCGTAGTTCTATACCCGCAGAATAGTTGCCCGACACGAAGGAAATTATACAACTGTTTGTACATGGCCGGCCCGGAAACTAATAAAGAATTGTCCCAGTACCTAAGAATCTCCGCCGAGGGCTCCAACCGTTCCCTAGAGAACTAAGGAAGATCATCCGGTTCAGATGATTCCAACGCAGGCAACGTTTTACTTAACCGTGTAACATAACCGTTCTTCCCTTTATAGTGCGAAACAAAATTCAGCCAACCTTTTGATAAAGGGCGAGTGACATGTGAATTGATCTTCCGAACAGAGTACATATGTCTATCTCGGTAGCTGAGCCGGCCTTTTGGT